AGGGAACACAGTGTTCTGAGCCCGTGGACCACAAAGGCACATAGTTATTATGCAAGTGTGCTTTTTTTCCTGTGTCCTTTGTCCATGACTCTGCCTTATTGCTTATCAGTCATGGTGGTACTTTATATCTGCTCTTAATCTAGCATCAGGGTTTCCAAAGAATCATATGATTCCTCAGATGGTGAATCTTCAGTACAGGAATTCTGAACTCTCACATCCGTCTTTGCACTGCTTCTGAAAACTACATCTAAATTCTGACAAATTAAAACCAATGAAATGCTTAAATTACCTGTAGATGATCCTTGTTATATATGTAAATCAACCTGTTAAACAAATATTCATACCTTCCAAACAGTTGCATCGGGACAGGGATGGTGATAACATTCTTGAAGAAGATTCCTGGGTTACAATTTCCATTCTGTGAGTGTATCCTACCAATTACTAATAAGAATATTACTGGATGATAGACTAGTAATACAAAATATATTCAGACATTGGACACCTGATATAAGGAGCAAGTAACTCCTTGATATGTTTTGTAGTGCATATTGGCAACCTAATTATTAATTCAATCTAAAATTTTGTACTTATGAATTGGAAAAAAAAATCTTTATTTCCACTAACTACTCAGTTTTTGAAAAAAGAGTGTGTTCCACTCCTCATTCTTAGTACTTTGGGGAAATGAGTTTTTATTGTTTAGAAAAAATATTTATTAGCAGCATCAGCATAGTGATTATTATAATGTTTAAATTCAAGGAGTTCAAATTATTGGATTGGTGGCTTCATGACTTATAGAGATATTTCAGAGCCCCCTTGTTTATAGAACTGGGGAAGTGATGTTGATTATTCACAAACCTACATACACATATTGCAGGTGCACATTTATTCATCATCACATCTCCCTACAGCCTTCCTTCAAAATATTCTGAGTTGTGTTTGTGAAAGGGGAGAAGCAATGTCCTTCCTGTTCTGCCCAGTGATATGTTTGCAGATAAAAGCATTCTTCCCATAATGGAAAATCAGTGAACTTTTCCCATCATTCCGTCATCCCTTGTTATCTAATGACAGTGGGTAGAATGTAAATCACTGCTGAAATAGAAAGGATAATTCAGCAGCATCTGAGATAGAAAAAAAAATGAACAGTCAGAATTCATCGTAATTTTGATGTGAAAAGTAATAGGTAGGTGGTTCATCCAAAGCACAGTGGCAGTTTTGGAAGGATTCTGAAGATCAAATTCAGATTTTGGAAGGCCTTATTTTACATATGCATAAGCTTTATTTATTTGATTTTTTAGTTCTGTCTTTATTACTTTTATAAGTAACTCAAGGGGGCCAACATATTACACTCCTTTCTCCTCCTATTTTCCCCACAACAATAATCCTGTGAGGTGGGTTGGGCTAAGAAAAAGTGACTGGCCCAAAGTCACCGAGCCGGCTTTCATGCCTAAGTCAGGAGTAGAACTCACAGCCTCCTTCTTTTTAAGTCAACACTTTAACCATTAGTCCGAACTGGCTGGAGAAACAGATTAGGTCCAATTTCCCCAATTACTTCTCTTTAGATGCTAGTTGGGAATTATGCATTGAACATGTTTGCAAGGTACCTAAAGCTGAAAAAGATCAAGAGCATTGGTTACTTTTGATCGTGCTATTTTCAGTATTAATGACCGTTTCAATTTCTTTCACTCTATTCTAATACCACCTTTTTTTTCTCCCCTAGTTGAGATTTTGCTTGTGGAAATGCCAGTTTTTCGAAAAGATATCCGCAGACTTGCTTGTTCTCTGGTGAGATAGGCTAGGTTGGCTCATGTTGCAATGTCTCTCACACACAATGACTGGGTATCTGTGGGAGGTGTTGAGGGGCGGGAAGAGGGAGAACATACTTAAAATGTTCTCTTAGCTATTATCAGGAAGGAAGTCAGAGATGTGAACTTTGATGCTCGGAAAATTGGTCTATTCCCAGTTGCAGTGACAAGTCTTCACTGCAAAGCTGACTCCTGCTCCTAGGGTAGCTGCATAATGAGCTCTCTATAAACCTCTCTGTAGTTGATGCACGATTCTTTGTCCTTGGGATCTGTAGGCCATTTGGAGCACAATGCTAATTGAGTTTTTATAAATGGAGCTACCAAAATGGCCTTCTTACTTACCTGACCTGCCTGGTCTTGTTTGAATATAAATGTGAATATTTACACATGCACACAGAGTTATATGTATGTGTATGTACACTCACTCATGCACATCCTGACTTTGGCAAAGTCTGTTATGCTTTACTGCTCTTACCTTCTCTCCTTACACCATGGAGCCCTACAAAGTCAGGGAATAAGTGATAACCCCCCCCCATCCTGCAGAAACTGTTCACCATATGACAAGGGCCAGATGTTAACAGTACTGTTTGTTTATTACTTTTATTTCCTCTCAGTTCCAGTAAGTTGTCCTGCCCAAGTAGCTCATGATTAGGCAGCAAGAAGCCTCTAATCTTGCCAATCTGATTTACTGTCATTGAAAATAACTACTTCCCGTTAGCGGGCACAGGGTTGGGAACAGTGCTGTACCACAGAGTTATCCTACCACATGTATCTCCCTTTCCTGGCTATTTCACCAGCCACTTAAAAGTTGGTTAAGCAAGGCAGTGAGATCGAACAGTATACCAGCAACTGGGTGGGTGGCATTGGCATAGAAAAGGCAAAGAAGAGAGGCAAGGAGACTTAAAAAGGGGCAGAGAGAGATTAGGGTGGCCCGAAATGCACAAATCTGTCCAGAAGATTGTTAGGGTCTTGTAGAAGCTGGAAACAATAGCTTGGGTGTGAAACCCAAGCAGTAAGCAGAACAAAGTCTTGTGGAGGGTATATTGTGTAGATTGGAAGAAATCAGACCCCCTGCAAACATACTTCGCATCCTTTTACATCTCCAAAGGCTTTGGCAATTAATCAAAGGAAGGACTCCCAGGAAGTCAGCAATGATCAACTCTTCCTTCTTATGGAAAAGCAATGAGAGCAGAACTACCTGATCCACGCCCCCACCCCCTTGCAAGGGATATTCTTATTGATTAAACCATAGAGGGCCAGGAAGGCATTGGCCAGACTAGAAGCCACCTGACAAACTTGGTTATGCCCTGTTCAGAATGGAAGGTTCTTGGGAGTGAGAGGCTCCTACTGTAAGTCTTCTGGGTTGTGTATTAATCATTTGCTCTCCTCTTTGCTATTGACCAAGTGTCATCTTTTCAAACCAGGGTTGTCTCGCCTGGTTTTGTCTTCCTGACCTGGAAAAAGGCTGTGCAACTTTGATGAATGAATGATCTTGTAACTGAGGCTTTTCTGCTGAGGTTAGACTAGAATATTATTTGAAGATTATATGACAGCCTTTTTCGTGCACGTCTGTGGGTGGTAATTAATTTCACTTTTCATGTGGTTTCTACAGTATTGTCACCTTGTGCTCAGACTTTATTGTAGTCTAGCAGAAATTACACTTTCTGAGCCAAATCCAATATTTTATGCCAAGAAAATTGTACTGGCATAAAATTGTATGGTTCCTAGTTAGAAAACTTCTATCTTCTGAAGAAACAATGGGACCATAATTGCTGAAATACCATAGTTCATCTCTTGGGCATAATTAGTGACATAATTTCTCAGACAGAGCAAGTCTATGTTGTAATTTTCTTTTTTTTAGAGAATAAGAAACATTCTCTTCCTTGATTTCCTAAGACATACTCAGTATTAAACAATCTGATGTTAAGCATATTCAGTGAGGATGTTAGCTATTAGCTGTGACAGCTAAATGCAGCTTCTGTGTTCAGTGTAAGCGTATTTTGAAAATTAGTTGTCAGCATGGGGCACACAACAGACTAGAGCTGTTGGCCTTCATGGGTTTGAATGATGTGTTGGAAACAGAACTTTCTTTGGACCTCTGACAAACCCAGACTCTCTCTGCCCTTCATTAAAGCACACCTGACTTTTTTTAGACTTTCATACCAGCCTGGAAAAAAAATATCACTATTTGAAGGAATAACATTAAACCATAGGAGCACACCTGTATTAGTCCTTGGTAGCTATCCATCAGGAGACATTTGGAGCAACTTTCTGATTAACACACACACATATATATATTTAAAAAAGCATCAGCTTTTTTGAGCTACAGCTCACTTTATCACTCTCTGCCTCTGGTGAAGTGAACTGTAGCTCATGAAAGCTTAGGCCCTTTAATCAAATGCATTAGTTTACAAACATGCTGCTGGGCTAATTAAAGTTAATGTGTCTCTTAAAGGTAGCCACAAGTTTTCTCAAGTTCCTTGGGACCTTGAAAAATGGCAGGCTGCTTTAATGAAGAGCAAGGAAATGCTGCCAACCTTGCTTTTCTTTTGGAGATCAAATTAAGTCAGTTAAGTGCTGCCATTAAATAAAGTGAAACTTTAAAAAACAGCTCAAAATTTCTCCACAGCCTAAGTGTGGGGAAAAAAAGATCTTTTGTTTCTTGAGAGGATGGAGTAGGGAAATCCATTTTTATTTAGATTTATTTTTCAACCTTTCTAAAGAATCTCATGGCTAAGGCCCAAGATAGAAGAGGAAAAGCAGCAAGATAGTTTCATAGCTACCTTTGGAGAGGTTGCACAGAGGTTTTGGGGAAAAAAAAAAGGGCTGCTTTAATAAAAAGCAGAGATTTATGGTATTCATGCAAAACCTGAAACACTTCTTCTGAATCATTTTTGAAGCATGCACAGCTTTAGCTCACACATCTGGTTTGGGAATTCGGAAAGCTTTAGCCCAGATAGCTGAGGGGGGGAGGGTCAGATCTGGAGAAGGCTGCTGTATTGCCTCATTTGCTGGCACGTAGCATTCAAGTCTTTGAAGGTAGCATAAATCTGTTATCTCCTCCCCGTTGACTTTTCATAGCCAATAATATGCATTTCTGTCAGACACACATCCACTCCTATCCCCCCATACCACCACTATAATTGATTCAAGGCAACATTGATTGGAGTAAGATATACTCTAGTCTAGCTCCACCTTGCATTAGTCAACAACTTGTTATTTTTCATACTCTTATTCCATCCAGATTTACATTCTGCCTGCTTTGCTGAATGTAGACTCTGAATATTTTCTTCTACTGGTTCATTCTTTCCTGCTCAGTTTTCCACAAACTGCTCAGAATATAACAGTCAATAAAATAAGGCCCATCTCGTTAATCTAAAATACAAAGTATTTAGATTAATACAAAATAGATTTCTTTATCAAATTTTTATTGAAAAAGTTTTTCACAATACAGATTTCCCCCCCTTTTTTCCCCTCCTCCTCCCTAACCCCCCCTCACCCTCCCCACCCCCCATGGCTTCTCCAAAAGTAAAATCCAAATTGATATCAAATTATATAATACTTTACCATCCTTTTACACCACCCCCCACATGCTAACCATTTCTTTCTAACATTGTTATTATATCCCCCCCTATACTATACATTTCAAAGCAACCTTCAGCTATAAAACTATATAATAAATCCTAATTTGACATTTATTCAACTCATAATCTACCCATTTCTTCTACCCCCATACATATATCTCCTAATTCAAATCTTTTACGTATATTTATATCTAAACATAACATCCCTTTTCCTAAACTAAACAATCAGTAACCTAACCCATCTCCACCCATTTTCCTACAGGTCTACCATACATAATAATTTTAATATCTTTGTTCTTCTGCCCACACCACACAACTAAAAAATATTTCCATATATGAATAAAATCCTCAAATGACTTTAAATTTATAATCCATATAGTATCTTCTGTAACGTATTTCTTTATCAAATTTGTATGGCTGCCCATCCTGGAAAAAATGACTCTGGGCAGCGAACATTTAATTAAAATAATAAATATATAAAATTATGATTAAAAATATGAAAAAGCACAAGGCACAATAAGATAAATGTGACTTGCAATAAGGGACCCATCCAAAGATCTCACCGCTCCTCTGGGATCCCCTAATGAAATAGCTAGGGACTTCCAAAACATTAACAGGGATGGAGTTAAACTCACTTTCAGAGGGAGAAAATTCCATAAGGCAGTTGCCATGGCAGAGAAAGTCCAACTCCTGGGACCTGCCAATGTAAGTTCCCTAACAGACGGGACTCACAGCATGCCTTCTCTGCCAAATCTGATGGGACAGGCAGATATAATGGCAGTCTTAGCACTATTTTCTGGGAAAAAAAATAATACAACATGATTCCAACTCACGTTTATTGATGATTTCAGTGAATTGCTTGGTGCATTTCTTTGTTCATGTTTATTTATTCCACCTGAGTCAGTTTGAATTGGATGGGCTTTAATATTGTAAAATAAATAATTTAAAAATGGTGTATTTTGGACTTGAGCTGACCTGCAAAATAAAATGTACATCCATCGTTTGCATCATCTTGGCTCCTTACTTCAGTTTTCAAATTGCAAGACAGAATAGCACATTGATGGGAAGTTGAGCAGAATGGCAAAAACATTACGTATGCACTAGTATGGCCAGAGATCTTTGTGACAATGAGATGCTGAAGCGATGTCACAGCTTTATAAAATGGGTTGATAATAGTTTCTATTAGTACAGCTGTAACCTCTTGCCCAGGTTTGATAGAGAAACTGATAATATGGGTTGGGGCATTTATAACATCACAAAGAAGCAATCTAGAGTTGTACAGCCAGCAATATCACATTTCTTTACATTTGGTCCAGGTCTGGTCTAAAATCCATGAAGTAGACTAGGCAACCTTATTCCTTTCTGTCTTCTGGACTTCCCATCAGCTCCAGTTAATACAAACAATAGAGGTAGTCCTTGATTTACAATAGTTTGCTTAATGACCGTTGAAGGTCACTGAAAAAAGTGACTTATGACCGTTTTTCATAGTTATGACATTTCCAGCATCCCCATGATCATCTGATCAAAATTCAGATGCTTAGCAACTGTTTCATATTTATGACCATTGTTGTGTCCCAAGAGCATTTCCTCACTTTTTGCGACCTTCTGACAAGCAAAGTCAATAGAGAAGCCAGATTCACTTAACAACCAGGTTACTAACTTATCAGCTGCGGTGATTCACTTAACAACTGAGGCAAGAAAGGTACAATGGGGAAAAATTCACTTAACAAATGTCTCATTTAACAACAGAAATTTTGGGCTCAATTGTGGTCGTAAGTCGAGGATTACCTGTAGCAAGCAAATGTGGAGAGTGTCAAGCTGCTTAATTCCACTTAAGATGAATCTTTTAGCATTTCATTTTCCATACTATCGTTACGGAAAACATTGTATCTAGTCCTAATTGGATGCAAAGCCTGCCATCTCTTAGCTAATGAAATATTTCTCTGATACCAATCTTGGTTTTTGAGTTCTCAGCCAAAAGCCAACACTGGCAACAAGAGGAGTAAGGGAATAAGCATGGCAGAAGTTGACCTCAGTCAAATGGGAGAACAAAATTCTTTGCATTTCACCTAGTTCCACCCCTGCTGGGGTTGTAAACTGTTTCACGGTAACCTTGATAATGAGTGTGATAATGAGGGATCATCTTGGAAACTTTGAATTTATGCCAATGAAACATGTTTCTAGGCATGCTGAGTCCTCCTTTCTAAGTAATCCCAGTCACTCCTTTGCATTTCTCTCTCCCCTCCCTCCTTAGAAATTAAACACTGGCAGTCTTTTTCCAGGGCTGTTGTCCACAGTTTGCTGTTCTGGTGTTTTCTGATGAATCGGATCTCTGGGAGGAGTAGTCGTGGTAGTAGTAGAATGCCACCCGCTCTGCCATTGGCGTTGCCATGGCGACTCCCTCCTACCTGCCACAACAACTTTTCCAGTAAACCCCCTGCAGAACTCTGGGCTTCCCGACAGCCCCGCCCTCTGGCTTCATAGTGGATGGCGGGCTGGGGAAGAGGAATGAGGGTTTATTTAATTATTTGTGCTCTTAACCCTTGGCAGGCCAGAATGGAGAACAAGGATGGTTGATCTGCTGCAGAAGTGCTTTGGTGATAAAAGACAGTAGCCCCACTATGTGCCTAAGAAGTCAGGTTTTATGAAAGAATCACAGTCTCTACTTCAGCTTCTGACTGCAGTTATAATTGTGGGAGAGCTCCCAGTCTCTCCCCCACCCCTCCATTTTCATCTATTGCAGTTTCCGAACTCTAACTGCGGTTTTCTGGTCTGTGAGAAGGGAGGAGTCAGGCAAAATCAACATAACTCTAAATGTAGGTTAGGTAAATTGGAAATAAACGCGATCAGGCCGTAGCAAAACGGTTCTGCCTTCCGCCTGTCAGGTATAGCTTCTTTTTATTTATTACAGTTATCCAAACTCTTATTCCCAGGGCAGAGCACCCTTTAATGTAGTAAACAAATTTGTTAGTCTAAAAACAAAAAAGAGTCTAAAGTTAAACAGTGAAGAGCAGGGTGTATAGTTTTGACTTTCCTTCTTTCTCCCTCATGTAACTCTTCTCTGACATAGTGTCCTAATCTAATTTTATAATGTGAGAGTAAGAAAATCAGCACTCTATAAGGTTTAAAGGACAAACTCTTCCTTATATAGAAGGAGGTGGCTTTTGACTCTGGTTGATTCTTTGGCTTCCCCCTTTGTGCTAAAACTGGGGGTGCTTTTGCCTGAGAAGTGGAACCTTTATGTATATTCCTTTTATTAAATTCCAACAGACTAGTATCTTTTCACCACCTTTGTCAATCATCTTTCCATTAAAATTATGATATGATTAAACAGCATTTACATAGATTAGTATATTGCATATTTCATTTCTATAGATGAGCACACTTTATATTGATGTACGAATCTAATTCCATGAGTCAATCTATCAATCAATCAATCAATCAATCTCCACAACCCTGTAAATAAGAACTGAAGCTGCAGAACAGTCGGTTAATAGGATAGTATTATCTAATAAAGGGACACGGTGGCTCAGTGGCTAAGATGCTGAGTTTGTCGATCAGAAGGTTGGCAGTCAGCGGTTAGAATCCCTAGCGCCGCGTAATAGAGTGATCTCCCATTACTTGTCCCAGCTTCTGCCAACCTAGCAGTTCGAAAGCACTTAAAAAATGCAAGTAGAAAAATAGGGACCACTTTGGTGGGAAGGTAACAGCGTTCCATGCACCTTTGGCGTTTAGTCAATAATAATACATTATTTATATTAATATATTAATAATATTAGATAATAAAGGTAAACGTTCCCCTGCACACGCGTGCTAGCCGTTGAGTGAGAGTAACCCGTAAATATCTTTGGCTTTGAAATGGAGATGAGCACCACCCCCTAGAGCCAGAAACGGCTAGCACGCGTGTGCGGGGGAACGTTTACCTTTATTATCTAATATTATTAATATATTAATATAAATAATGTATTATTATATTAGGCTAATAATAGTACGTACTGAAACTTTCTGAAGGGCCACAGGTTGGAGCACATGCCATACAATGCCATTTGCCTCTTTCATTTCCTTTTGGAAGCAGGGATGGCAGAGAAATGTAAAGTGCTTTAATTGTTTTCTCTGCAGCCCAGAGCAGGATGAATAATTGAGAGGTCTTTGGGGGGAATTAATTAAAGCTATTATTGACAGTAAATAACTTTTCCTAAGATGACCAGCGGCCTAAGAGATTAAACATAGGAGAAGCAGCCACCTAAGAGTTCACACTCTTTGTCTGCCCCTTTAACAACCCTCATGATTGCTGATTCCAGATGACCACTAGATATCAATAAAGAGCTGTATCCCTTTGCTGCCATGTTCTGTGGCGGTCCAGATTTCTGCAACCTAGGTCTGAAAGCCCAAATGTGGGGCCCTCGCAGGAATCATTGAGACCTGCAAGAGAAAGGGCAGCAGAACTGCTACAGCAGCCGTCATGAAATCAGCCATTGTGTGTGCTAGAAACAAAATCCTTGGAGACTCTGGCAGCTTCCCTGAACATGGCTCTCAACCACTCTCTTCCTTTTCTTGCTCTCTTCCTCCTACAGTAGGTGAAGGAGGCATAAAAACATGAATGACAGTGCAACTTTTTTATGATCCACAAAATTCCCATCGACCAATAGAGGGTAGTCATGTGATACCGGAAACACTAATGCGTGTCTAACAGGGGTGGGTTCTACTTACCTTTACTACCAGTTCCCAGTGGGTACATGCACAGATCACCCATGATGACGTCATGGCAGGTGGGCGGAGTCTCCCACCGGTTTTACTACCGGTTCTATAGAACCGGACAGAACCAGGAGCAACCCACCACTGGTGTCTACCATCTAGTGGCCTCCAAGGGTATGGCTGAGAAAGATCTTTGATGGAGGGTGGGTAAGGGATGCTTTGGGAACTGAGCAAGGTCTTTGCGGGGATCAGGCCCTCCTGGTCCTGCGGTGGGCGGGTGGAGTGGCCAAAGCTGTCCTTTATGCTTTCTCCAATATGGTATTTAAATTGATGCAGTCTGCTGGGTGGGAAGGCTTGGCACTATCGTTCTCCTGTTTGGGGGGGGGAGGGGCACATGAAAGATTTCCTCTGAGGCCCTGAGAGCTCTCCTTAACATCCCAGGGGCGATGGAAGGAATGTCCGAACTGTGCCTACGTGTGTGCGTGAGTGGGGAATCTCTGTCATGTAAACTACTCAGGCCCACACAGCTGGAATGGGTGGGAAGGCACGCCATGCCTCTGAGCTAGGGCTGTAGCTTCCTGCTTCTTTTGTTTAGCTCCATAATGGAACAAGCCCCACATTGCCTGGTGAGACAACAGAACAACCATTGAAGACTATTAATTCACTGTTACAATTACTTGTTGCAACATTAAGTGGGCAGGCTACAATGCCTCCACTTTTTCTGGGAGAGGTAGGGAGGGAGCATTTTTTTGTTGTTGTTGAGGAAAACAGTCTGCATTAAATCAACCCAGGCAGTTCAAAACAACTCAAAATTGCTGGCAGGGAGCATTCCGCCATGGCTCTTGAGAGCAAAGTCATGTTGCTTTGGGCCGCTCCTTGTCTCCATTTTGTCACTGACTGGGAAGAGAATAAATGATTCCTACAGCTTCATAGTGAACATCCTTTTCTAAGCACGGGAATTTTGCCACATCTGTTTGTCAGAATGCAATACTGTATCTCAGGGGTGTCAAACTCGCGTCATGGCGGCATCACGTGATGTATCGAGACTTCCCCCCCTTCCCTAAACCGGACATGGGCGTGGCCAGCGTGTGACGCATCTGGCCCATGAGTTTGACAGCCCTGCTGAATATGATGAGAGGGTTGTTACTTGACTGCAAGGAAGGTTGATTCTTAACTAAGGTGACTGCAGCAGAATAAAATTTACTAATCTTGATATATAACAAACAACCTCTGAGACTGATAATACTATTTGGGAATTTTTACAGAATTCTTGCTTCAATTCCCACAGAACAAAAAAATGCAGTCAATTGTATTTTTTTTTTTAAATTATATCCTGCCTTTTATTTTTACAAATAACTCCTCCCACAACAACCCTGTGAGATGGGTTGGACTGACAGAGGGTGACTGGTAACAGTAACAGAGCAAAGTCACTCAGTTGGCTTTCATAGCTAAGGCAGAACTTGAACTCACAATCTCCTGGTTTCTAGCCTAGTATCTTAACCACTAGACCAAACTGGCTGTATGTATTCATTTCATAATTATATAATTACAATATGAGAAGAAACTTCTGGATAGGAATCAGGCTTGGCTTTTTACTGCCATAAAGCAGCAATGTATCAAATTAGCTGAAGAAGCAAAAATGGATTTAAGAAGTGTTAAATGAGCGGAATCATCAAGGGATGCAAGTTTTTATTATAGTACCCCCTGATTCTTTTGATAGAAATTATTTTATGAGGGATCCCTGATTATTTTCTCTGTGGCTTTTCCTAGTGTCTCACCCAACACGGTCATGTAAATAAAGTCAAACACTGAATTAGATTAGCACTTTTGTAGCTATCCCAGCAATACTTGAATGACCTTCATGCTATCCCCCCCCCACCCCATTGCATTCCCAGAAAATGGGATTTCCTCATGGTCTGCAGCTTTGCCAGGAAAGTCTCATGCTTCACAGTGCAGCATAGCAATCAGGACATGTGAGGGTGCCTGGCTCTTGATGATTGTTGCCAGCGATCCTGAGGTTTTATTTGACAAATGAGAGGCGCTGTTCTGGGAAACAAATATGGCCATTTCTCAAGGGGCATCATTACAGCACATCAGTGACTATATTCCCATTGAAGGCTCTGTACTTAGTTCAGTAATGAAGGCAGGCTCTGTGCTACAGTTAAGCCACAACACTCCAGTTGACTTAAATGGGCACTGCCTGAAGAAACACACACACACACACACACACACACACACAGAGTACTTCATATTCTTCCCCAAAATACTGTCAAATTAGGATATTTAAAAATAATTTTAAATCAACTAACTTTAGCTCTGCTGATAGCTCTGATCTTCAGAGGCGGGGAATGAGGGAAGTGAGTAAATTCAGGCAAAACTTACATTTATAAGTTCCTTATACAGTATAATATTAGATTTGGACTTTCCCCCGCCTTTTTTATTTTTATAAATAACTCAAGGAGGGGAACCTACCTAATATTCCTTCTTTCCCTTAATTTCCCCATAACAATATTCCTTCTTTCCCTTAATTTCCCCATAACAACCCCTGTGAAGTGAGTTGGGCTAAGAGAGAGGGACTGGCCCAAAGTCTTCCCACTAGCTTTCACTTCTAAGGGAGGACTAGAATTCACAGTCTCCTGGTTTCTAGCCTGGTACCTTAACCACTACTAGTCCAAACTCATTTATATAATAGTAAGAAGAACCAAATAAATTTATTCTCTTAGGAAGCGCCAGTCTTGATGTGGCTCTTCATTATAAAAGCTAATCTTTCTGAAAGACCTCTGGAGTCCAGATTGTTGTTTTTTTATTTGAATGCCTCTTCTAAATATTTCCTTGGCTTCCCCTGCCTGGTGCAGCTTGAAGTCCCCAGCTGGAATGCAAGTGAGACAGGAGATTTGCCTCTTCCCTTCAGTGAGGCTCAGACAAGGATTTCCTTTCTTACTGGCCAGGCTGTTTGACTTGTTCCTCTGCCAGCCATTAATATACTCTGACAAGCCCAACCATCGGTTTCCTATAAATCAACCCAGTGTTAATGGGTAGGGAGCACAGCCTACACAGCCCCTTGCTGGTAATTGCTTTGAAAACGGAATAGTTGAGTCCGTAGGCTGACTCCTGAGAGAGAAGGCACCCAGGGAAGGGAGCTTTCAAGTCTGGAGGATCTGTTGCAAATGTGGATCCTGGAAGTGAGAGGTGTGTAGATTTAGAACTGCAAGAGAGCACAAACAAAGCCTTTCTTATGAAGACCCTTTCTGGCTCAGTTTTTTACTCAGTTCCAGCAGTGTGCTAAAGGTAGTGGGGATTTTTTCCCCTTGGGAGGGTGGCAACATGATATGGATATTTAAATGGATTAATCCTACCACATGTCTGTTTTGGGCAGACAGATCTTGAAGTAGGCTCTAAATTCAAACAAAACCTGCAAGAGAACAACTGGCAGCTGTGCTGCATTAAACCTATATCATCCCCCAAAGCAAGTCACTGCAAATTGATCCAGTGAGGCCAATCCTAGCAATCAGCATCTGGTAAAGAGAAAAAGCTGGGTTTCTTGGAAATGGCTCTTTAGGGATCACACTGAACTCCTAGATTCCAGGAAGAAGATGTAAATTAAGGGATTTTAAAAATGTGAGATTCCTCTAATTCAGCTCAGATGTTAGCCATATTTTAAACGTAATCCTCATTATGCACATTTCATTTTGGCTCTATTGTTTTGAATTGCCTCTCTGCCAGGATTAAGATGAATTGCACAATGAGGCTGTTTCCAAACAGATGGCTCCTATAACTATTAATCAAAAGGCATTGTTCAGCTATTACTCTTTTCCTTTTTAGATTCTTGCTGGGGATCTCCACCTGAATGGAGAACACTGAGCCCTTCCAGAAAGAGATGTAGTTTTAATGTTAAGGTGAGAGTATCCTCATTGATAAAATGTTATAGCTTGCAAATGTGAACAATTTCAATATATACTTATGTGGAAAAATGCAATTCTCAAGCCATTTTCACTGGCAACATATTGCAGCACTCTGCTTCGGTAGCATAGTTTGCTCCCAAATAAAAACCGTCAAAACAGGTTAGACTCAACTTGAGTCTAAGTGCTTTAAATTGAGTGTGCTTTAAATTGAGTTCAGAATGACTTGGAGACAGGTTGATCAAGAACAACTCTATGTCTGAATCTCTTCCCTATAAAATTTCATAAATGAAGCAGAAACATTGCATAATAAAACTTTTTGGAAGCATCCCAAATTGTTGTGGGTATCATAGTTTTAAGGAATTTTAATCAAAAGTCCACCTGGTGGCCTTAGTGGTATAAAGCATTCAAGGCTGCATGTTGAAAGAAAAATAAGTTTTGCTGCCCTTCGAAACTTGGACAGTTTCTCCTTTCCTAGTCAAATAGCTTGATTGGCTTGATAGGCTTAGCAACAATTATTTCTAGTTGGTTTAACTTTGTTCATGAAGCACATATGCATACAGAATCTTATGTTTAAATCATGAGCCTATGTAGTTTCAGCAGCTTAATTCCTTTGAATTGGTAGTCAACCATGGCATCCATAACAAGGCCTAATGATACACTCAAAATGAAAAAAAAAATGGTCACAGTATTATAAATAACGAGATCTTGTAAGATCTCTGTGATCTTACATAATTGCTTATTTGTGATGCCCACAACATAGCTAAAATCACTCAACGTGCTTTTTTCTTGAAAAAGTTGATTACTTCTGCTTGGATAAATTATCTGACTCTTGATTATAAATTCACCTGACTGTGGGTATCAATTGTCTACTGATATATCTGTCAGAATGTAGAACCTGATCTGGCTGCTTACTCATTTCTGGATTTCATTTCCAACTTCACCTTCCACTTTACCACAGCAATGTGCTAGAACTCCCATAGATCCCTCCTCTTTTAAGAATTTAAGATTATCCCTGCTGGATCAAGCCAAAGACCTACCTAGCATTAGAGGCCAACAAAATATACTAAGAAGCTCACAAGGAGGCCATGAGAACAGCTTCTTCCTCTTTTGCACGCTGGCATCTGATATTTATGGTATGCTGCCTTGGATTCCCGGGACATTCCATAGTTGTATAAACAATAAAGTTAGTGATACAAATTGTTTCCAAACAGAAATCATTATACATTTAACAACTTATCTCCCTGTATAAAATGCATGCAGAATGCAATCAACTGTCCATATTTTATGAACACAGAACTGTTTTTGAATGAAATTTAAAAGAAATTATCCTGAGTTATTATGTGTACACACATACACCAGCTATTCCTTTTTATGTAAGCATAAGCAGCATTATGGAAAGCATAAAAATGAGTAAAAAATAGCGAGATAAAGAAATTAAAGTCATTATGTAGGGTAATCAAAAGACAAAAAAGAAATATCAGTAAAGTAAATCTATTATATACCAACACTTTTCACTATCCCGCTCCATACTTTTTTTTTATTATCCTTGCTTCTGCCAGATGCATAATAATATGTCATACATTGCTTTTGGTTCTTTAGCTTCTACTGTTTTTCTTTTGGGGTGCTATCACTATCTCTGCTAACCATAGCTTTCTTGGCCTTTCACTTCCTCCCAACCTATTCATTTGTCCTTCAAGTATTTGTTTTACAGTTCATTTATACCTTCATGTGACCAAATCACATCAATAGACTTACTTCATGTGAGACACTCATTTTGTATTCAGTCCAAGTTCATTCCATACCCATTCCTTCCTGAATCCATTTCTTTTTGTTTTAAAAATGACTCTTCTTAAGTACCCCATTCACACTGCATTCAGCTTACTTTTATACTTATCCTGACATACCTAACTCTCACTTCTGTATAATGTGAGCAGAAACACATTTTTACTTCTTTTGATGAATGTTCTTAAGCCCTCCACAATTTATTCTTGCAATAGACCATATCCCACCCATTTTTCCAGTTTGCTACCATTCAAAACATACAGACAGCTTTTTAAGTACCCCTTTGCACACACCTAGATTTGTTTCAAATGCGACACTGAGATTGGAAAGTAGTCTCCATAGAACAGGGAGGCAAATAACCTTATTTGCCTAGCTAAACTCAATCTGCTCCTATTAATAGTACCAGAGAGATACAGAATGAAGTGTGGGGAAATATAAATAAATTGCACACTGGACTTCTCCTTGAATACCTGCTAAAATCAGGTGTAAAATGAGAAGATTAAACAGTGGATTAGGGACATAGAGCTACAATGTGAACTCAACCATTAGGTTATATCAACCAATATATCTGGTGGCATTAAAGTAACATGCAGTATATGTTTAATACAGTCATATATATAATATATAACACATTATATATTCATTATATATATTGCACCAGTAGAAGCTAAATCAATTTTGTTGTATAGTATATGTACAATGACTATAAAGGTTATTATTATTATATCATATATATATCCTATCATATATCATAACACACACACACACACACACACACTTTTGGTTAAATTTCACATATATATGAATTCTGGTTTAAGATTGTAATAAAGCACATACTACCTATTACCTTCCCACCAGCGATTGCATGACTTAAAATTTCTCCAATCTCTTTTTATTGTTAGTAAGTGTTCCATCAAGGTTTATAAATTCTTCTATTTGCTCTGTGCTTGGGCCATTGATAATTTTGCTTTTTATAACAATTCACTCAATTTGCCATTAATTGTGTACTCCGTCTTCCTTGTCAAACACAACTACATTGGTCTTGCACAGGTGAGTTTTCAGATCCATGTTCCTTGTTGCCTCAAACGACCTAACATTCACTGCCAGTCCTCCGGGTTCTCAACCAACCACAGAGCATCCTCTGCATACAAAAGTACATGCACATTCAAATCCCCAAAACATACGCCTTTAACAGAACCGCAAATATTGCTTGTATGTTTGTTCAACTAAGGAGATTCACACATCTCTGTCTTAATTCTTTGTTCAATGTGGAACCCTTTCTCTTGTAGCTTATCTATAGAAATAACTTGCCCCAGTACGAATATGAACCACTGACCATCTCTTAAGGGTATGAATATACAGCATCATTCTTTACCCTCCCCAGGCTCCTGGGCAGGAAACTTCTGTCCTTTTTTTTTCTTGCTTGTTTGCTTCGCATTTAGTGACTTCTGCTGTATCAGGTGGTGCTGACTGGTTTGCCTGCTGGGTTTTGTTTTATGATAGGTAGATGCATCCAGTCCATTTGACCCCTGTGTGTATTGTGACAGTCCTCTCCTCCAATCCCTGGTTAGTGCCCTTCATAGCCAGTTTTACCCCCCCCCCCCACACAAGTTAACCAATAGCATGATGAGAAGTTGAGGTTTCTTTCTCTTGTCTTTACAAGCTTACTGATGGAAATGAAGCTTCTGGTTTTTTTGTTTTTTGTTTTAACCAATTAAGTGGAAGAGTTTTTCCATTTTTCTCTTCTAGACCAAGTAAGGGGAAGAAACTGGTGTAACTGTGGTATTCTCTTTTTCTTTCTTTACTGGTTTCGTAAGAGTGAAGAAGCAGGAGAATCCATCAGTCAAAGACCATGTTTAGGAATGTAAGGCCATCACTTGAGCCAAAGTGGAAGAAAGAGTTGAAAGGAGAAGAGGGATTTCTTAAACTCGCTTTGTTTCCAGCTGTTTTATGCAAACTGTCTGCAGTCTAGAAATATTCTTAGTTTTACACATTCAAAATATATCTTGCCCTTTCCTTTCGTGTCATTTGCTATTTTATGTTTGTTCTTCTCATGTTCCAAATTTCAGTCTCGTCTATGCCATGATTATCTCCAGATGGGTCCACAAAGACATACCTCTGCTGCTCACCAAAATTATTGGTCAACCAGGTCAATCTCCCAGGTACAGGTAGTCCTCGACTTACGATCCCAATTGAGTCCAAAATTTTTGTTGCTACAGTAAGTAAGACATTTGTTAAGTGAATTTTGCTCTGTTTTATGACTTTTCTTGCCACAGTTGTTAAGTGAATAACCACAGTTAAATTAGTAACGTGGTTGTTAAGTGAATGTGTTTTTCCCATTGACATGGCTGTCAGAAGATTACAAAAGGGATCACATGACCCTGCATGTGACACTGCAATGGTCATAAATGTGAATCAGTCCCCAAGCGTCTGAATTTTGATCATGTGACCATGGGGATGTTGCAGTGGTTGTAAGTGTGAAAAATAATCACTTTTTAAAGTGCAGTTGTAACTTCAAACGGTCACTAAAGAAACAGTTGTAAGTCAAGCACTTACTCATATTAAATTTTAGTAATGTAGACTGGGCTACTCATTTTAGTGTTATCTGTTCTATAGGTATCTTTCCCTGATAAGTTAAGGACAGTGTTTGTCACTTTTGGCACATTTTGGCTAGTATGCCATAAGAGCAATCCCAGCCCAGCTAAGCTATTCTAAATTAGGAGTTAAGTAGTTAATCTTAGCCCAATGTACCTTACAAGGGTTTGGTGTAGAGGAACATAGTTTCGTATATAAACTTCTATTTATTTCAGTATTTATTAAAGGTAAAGGTTCCCCTCGCACAGATGTGCTAGTCGTTTCCGACTCTAGGGGGCGGTGCTCATCTCTGTTTCAAAGCCGAAGAGCCAGCGCTGTCCGAAGACATCTCCATGGTCATGTGGCTGGCATGACTAAACGCCAAAGGCGCACGGAACGCTGTTACCTTCCCACGAAAGGTGGTCCCTATTTTTCTACTTGCATTTTTTACGTGCTTTCGAACTGCTAGGTTGGCAGAAGCTGGGACAAGTAACGGGAGCTCACCCTGTTACGCGGCACTAGGGATTCAAACCACTGAACTGCCGACCTTTCAATCAACAAGCTCAGCGTCATAGTCACTGAGCCACCGCATCCCTAGGCAGTCTTTATTAAGCACATTTAAATGGCTGCCCATCATA